GACTTCAGTCGGGCGGTGGCTCGACGCGGCAGAAACGTTTCGGAAGGCGAACGAGATTCGCTCTATGCATCATCTTTGCGAAGCCCGTCAAACTTGATCTCCCGGTCCCTTTCGACGAGCGTCCCTCTGTATCTACTTCAGCCTCAACACCCTACCGTCTACTTTGGACAGAATGAGGCTCCTCCCGAGTTTCGACATGCCCCGCCTCGCCTAGCTCCCATGGAGTACACTCGACAGTACTACATCGCCAAAGCTAAGGCAGAGAGGGAAGGCGTCGACTGCACAATCCGCAAGCCTGACGCAGTCTGGGCTTGGACAGAAGATTTCAAGGAGTTCCTTCTGCTTCCGCAACTTCCCGCAGGCCTCCAAAGAAACTTCTTGCCTGACGATGGCAAAGACTGGAAGGTTTCCACCATGGGTCGGTCATCCAAGAACAAAGATATCGGCAAAAGAAGTTCCTTCGTTCCTCTTCCGTTGGACCTCGGCCCTTATACCCCGCTCATGCCTGCACACTTCCACAGCAAGTCCTACTCCTTCATCGGCTCAGGCCATAAGTACTGTTCATCTAGTGATGAATCCTATCTCGATCGTCCCGCAGCGGCCGGATATGTGAGTCTAGTGCAGTCAACAAGGTTGCTGATCGACAACTCTTCTACTCCCATGGTAAAAGAAGAAGATAAGTGCTTCGTTGGTGTTTCTCTCAATACCACCAGCGGGACAACAGGCTTCTCTCGTCCAGGAATGACTGAGGCATCTCCTCTGGACAGGGCTTCTATCACAACACCACCATTGTCTCTTGCTTCCCAGCGAGCTTCTAGTGAAGCACAACCGACAGATGTACTCACAACTACCCTTCTTCGTCCTTACAAGGCTGAACAGCTGCCCCTTGAGGGTCATCATCGGGTCAGCAGTAATACACAAGCTGCATCGAATGAAGTCGCTTTGCGCGATTCCTCTCATGAGTCTTATCGGAGAAGCACTGCACCAATGTCATCGTCAACAACAAGTGTTGCACAAAGCTTGCCTACACATCGTCCACAAACTGGGGTGAAAGAAGTGCATGCGTCGCCTTGCTATGGTCCTGCAACTTCGTACGAAAAATTTCGCCATCAGTTCACACTAACAACCACAGGTTACAGGGACGAAAACAACGTATCCCCTCTCAGCTTTGAGCATTTGCAAGAAATGTTTTTTGATGGAACTGTGTCTCCTCTGAGCAACTCGCCGGCATCTGCACAGACTGAGGTCTTTGCGCCAGAGGTCATGCGGAGACAGGAGCCTCAACAGACTTTGGACGACGCTCTGACACCCATGGTTGAAGATGAGACATTTCACCAAAGCATCTCAGATGATGCAGCTGACATTGCAGATACTTCTTCCGTTTACTCACAGGATAGTACTGTCACAGCAGTTCACCATCCTTTGACTGAATGTCGCCCTTCTTCGACAGACTTGATGTTGCTGGTGCCTACGACCAGTGAGCTTGAGAATGGAGAGGGTTTGACCCCGCGCCAACCAGAGAACCTTCCTTCCCATGCCGCCCACTCTCAGGAAAGAGCTTCACGACGCTCACCTGTCCTCGAAGCTATTTCATACATTCCAAGTTCAGAGACTGCCCAGTCTTATGCCGCTCATGAGGAAACTTATGACACTGCTGATCACAGATACTCTGAGGCTCCGTCCAGTACCATCAGCAACTTCTCGTCGCAAGTAACTGGATCTACTGCGGACCGACAAGATCGCTACTCTGTTGCTTCTCATGTGAGTACAGCCACATCTGTTTCGACATCCGCCTCTTTTCGACTTCCCATCCAAGGCACTCCGGCCAGCCTGGAAACCGATTATGTCAGGGCCAGTAGCAAGTATGCGCGCAAGGTGGGCACTGAGATACCGGCTCCGGAGGCTTCTTCAAGAATCTCCAGCATGCGGGCCAAGGACCCTCTCCCGCCCTCCCGGAGCTCTGTCACGAGAAATCCATCGTCTTCTCCTGGCATTCCTTCCCCAGTCACCTCAGCCGATACTGCTGCCTACTACCGCCAGAAGCGCCTTCCTAAGCGACCAGAGCCGGCACAAAAAGACCCCGTCACTGAGGCCATCGAGTCTTCCCGCAACTCAGAACTTCCATCTCTTCACGTCAGAAGACGCAGGGCAGTCCCGAGCCTTCCTCAAATTTCGGCATCTCAGGCATACCCGAAGCCGCTGAGGCTCAGCACGATGAAGAGCCCCAGTCCGGCGCCTACGGCATCAACTGCCGACCGCGCAGCTTCCGCTGCCAGCACTGGAACTGTCGCGCGTTCAACTTCGAGGCTCATCACGGATATCGGAAACGAGTTGAACCGCGAGATGGAAGAAGTCTTGTCGCCTCGCTCCGCCGCCATGGCTCACCGCCCGCTGCCACCAAAGAAGGAAGCTGACGTCGATACGCCTACTCGTCGCCCTCGCCAAGTCCAGTCGATGAAGTCAATTCCCTTCGACGCACCGCCTCTCCCGGCGCCCAACAAGCCGCTTCCCTCTATCCCGAAGCCCAAGACGCCTAAAGCCAAGACGTCAATGCCCAAGATGAAGACTGGGGCTCCTGATTCTGCCTCCATCGACGTGGACTTTGGTCCCGGTCCTGCCAGGTCTTACATTCCCGCCCGTCCGCCGCCGCCCATCCCGGCCTTGAAGCCGATTGACACCACTTCGCCGTCTGCTTTCGATACGACTTTCGACCCCTACGTCACTCGAGCCGACTTTTCCATCAAGAGAGACCGCACCGTCCGTCCCGCAGCGTCCATGGCGGCGATGTCTCCCCGTCCTAGTAAGTTCACCTGCGAGCTCGACGTCGCAACCGTACTGACAACAGCCCGCAGCACCTTTGGTCGACCAGCGCCAACAGCGCGTCAATCAGCCGGTAACCGCGGCTCATGTGCAGAGACCCGCCGATGCGCCTTCCCGATTTTTGGGTAAGATGGCATCGATGGCCGAGCTCAAGAACGGCAGAAGAGATACGATTTCGAGTCGTTCGACTGACAGCGACGATGCCGTGGGTATGAGAACTTTCCTTAGCGAGGACAGTGCTGCTTCTTCCGCATCCTCGTCTACCAGAGACAAGGCCACATCGGGATCGAAGCGGAAATTCTTGAGCAATTTATTCAAGAGAAACCGCAAGGATGATGAGAACTGAGCTTCTGTTACGGGGAGAGGGTGAGGACTAGGAAAGAGCGAGGTCTGAAAGGGAATGTTCACAGACCGAGCTGTGTTATCAATATTTGTACAACTTTGAAGAGAGATGATGGCCTGGGAATTGGGGATTGTGTATAATGGTTTGACAAGTACATTTCTCATTACGAGATATTAGACTTGACGCAGGGGGGGAATCATCAATGAACAATGTGTTACTCGACTTCCTCGGCTTTCCTCTGCCATCGACCACGCCTCTAATTCGCGAAGATAGCCTCCTGCGATTGTGACGCAGGGCCACAGTCACAGACGATAGGTCGTCTGTCCATGTCGATAACCTTGTTGATCGAGACGGGAAGGGCATACAGGATGGATATATGTGTTCTCTAAAAGGTCAATGATGGCGAATCCCTTTGTTCCCGCGCATCCATCGTGGTACGGAATTCGAGTAAAGTAGCCCTTCGTATTGAACGAGGATCAACATATTACTGAGTGCCCTGACAGTAAGACTGATTCGGTCAGCGGGGGGTTTATCTCAGAAGCGTGGGCCTAGTCACCGATTCTACTAAGAGAATAAGGGAAACAAAAGTAACGAGTCTTGGGGTGAAGCAGTAGGGTTGGCTGAAGAAGACATAGGTAACGAGCCAACTTCAACCCACGATGTTGATGAGGTCAAGTCATTCCAGAACAGCCTTTTGAGTGGTCTCGGCTGGGAATTATGTCATCCGGGCCCGGCGTCCAGGTGGGGATGGATCCTTCCGATCGCTGTGTCCGGGCCGGCAGGTGGAGAGTACCCTGACAGAACCCCTGAGGAGGGCCCCTGGCTGATGCAACGCCTTAAGGCGGGTACGCACCAGAGGAGGTCATACCGGGTCGTTGATTACCTCAAAACTGTCATTCGTTATCTCATATTGCCAATGGCACATCTCGTAGTCGGTTACTGGAAGAGAGAGGAGAAAGAGACTGCGAATCGATCAAACATGTGGCCCCGACGCCGCTCATCGTCTTCAGAACTTTCAAGCTACCACCGCCATTGCGCGGACAGAAGACGTGGCGGGCCACGCAGAGTTGACGCGGCTAGAACACTTTGGCTGCGCGGCTAGAGTATATATAGTCCTGTCCCCGAGATTATTAAATTCCATTCAATCACATTGTTTTCGTTTTTGTTGTTACGTTTGTGGCCCCCAAACAAGCGGCAAGGAGGCTGATGGAATGTTGGTTCGGGTGTCGTGCAGACCCGGGTCGCCGGAACGGGAACGGAGCCCATCACCCTCCTGTGCTAAATTTGAACCCAACGTGCGGTCTCCGTACTCTTCGTACTTCAATTGATGCTCCCCTATGTCGCTATTATCCGACGGGATGATTTGGAGAAGCCGAAAGAGAGGAAGCGACACAGGGAAGCTCCCTGTGCTTAGTATGATTGGACCACCCGAAAGAACTGGGGATCTGCCATTGCAATCAAAGGCTATTTTCGACACGGAAAAGGCTATTATAGTAAAAGCACTTAATCGTCGACAGCCGGGGGCCTAGCAAGTTTTCAAGGCCGTTTTCATACTTTCTCCAAGGGGAGGTTTTGCGCGCTCTCTTTTCACTGGAATGCGCGCACAACCGAGACAAATCGAGTGGCGGCTCAAAATTACGCAGTAGACATCCATCTCTTCTCTTTGTTTTCCTTACGCCGGAGCTTACGTTGAATGCCCGCCGGCGGTTTCCCCCCGTTTGAACCTGACTTGCGCGCGCGACCCCCAAAATCAAAAGGGTCTCCAAAAAACAAACTTCTTTGATGGGAAATTTCCCACCGCACAGGCGATTTAGAGATGCCAATGTTTGCCAAGGGGTCGGGCTGGAAAGAGAGAAACGGGAGGCCCGGACTGCGAGCCTCCGCGCCGAACGGAAACTAATAAGTTGACAAGTTTCCCCCAAAGGGCGAGCATCACACCCACATACGCGCTTTGCTTGAATTGATTCCCTCTTCAAGAGTGTTTTATTTTCATTCCCAGTCATTCCTTTTTCAGACACTCATTCTAGACCAAACTTGCCCATAGACACTCGTTGTAGAAACACAACACCCGCGCCAGTTTGGATAAGGCAACAATTCAATATCCACCATCACCAAAAGAAGAAGAAAAGAAAAAAAAAAACACCATGAAGCTCTCCCTCCCCCTCCTCCTAGCCCCCCTCGCCGTCCTCGGCCTCCCCACCACCGACAACACGGCATCGCCCTCTCACCACGCCGCCCGCGGCACGGGGCCGCACGCCCACCACGCCGCCGCCCACCTCCTCACCCGCCAATCCCCAACCAGCATCGACAAGCTCTTCAAAGCAAAGGGGAAACTCTACATTGGCGTCTCGGGCGACAACGGCATCATGCAGCAGGGTAAGACCGCCGCCGTCATCCAGCAGAATTTCGGCCAGGTGACGCCCGAGTACTCCATGAAGTGGGACGCCACAGAGCCCACGCGGGGCAACTTTGATTTCACAAACTCGGATTTCCTCGTCAACTTTGCGCAGAAGAATGGCAAGAGCGTGAGGGGGCATACCTTGCTCTGGCATCAGGCTTTGCCGGCGTGGGTGTCGGCCATCAAGGACAAGGCGACCATGACCAAGGTGATTGAGACGCACGTCAAGACGATTGTGGGAAAGTACAAGGGCAAGATCAGGTCTTGGGTATGTCTCTTTTTTTGCTTCACTTACAGAGTATCTCAAGACGGTTTCTTCTTCCGTTTTGATTTCCTCTTACAAATATGACCGTATGCTGACAAAGGGTACACAAAGGACGTCGTTAACGAAGTCTTCAACGACAACGGCACGATGCGCAGCACAGCCTTCTCCAACGTCCTGGGCGAAGCCTACATCGGCATCGCCTTCCGCGCCGCGCGCCTCGCGGATCCCGCGGCGAAGCTGTACATTAACGAATACAACCTCGACAACGCCGGCTGGGGCAAGGTCACGGCCTTGGTGAGCAAGGTGAACCAGTGGATCGGGCAGGGTATCCCCATTGATGGCATTGGTGCGTTTGCTTCTCGGTTTTTTTCTTTTCTTCCTTCCTTCCCTTATCTCATCCCCCTCTGCCCCATGGAGAAATCTGTCAATATGAGAAACTCGTAGATGGAGACGAGCCCAGAGACGGGAAAGGGGGACACAAACACTCAAGACGAAAACAAGTGGGATGACTAACACCACACACCAATCCAGGCTCCCAAGCCCACCTGGCAGCAAACATGTCAGGCAACATCCAAGCCGCCCTCGAAGTCCTCGCCCGCTCCCGCGCCTCCGAAATCGCAATCACCGAGCTCGACATCCCCGGCGCGCCGCCCAATGACTACGCCACCGTCGTGGCCGCCTGCCTCAACGTGCCCAAGTGCAAGGGCGTCACCGTCTGGGGCGTCAGCGACAAGCAGTCGTGGATGGCCACCGCCAAGCCCCTGCTGTTTGACGAGAACTGGAACCCCAAGCCTGCGTATAACGCCATTGCTGCGAGGTTGCGTAAGTGAGGGCGAACCTCAGGGGAAGCAAGAGATTGAGGATTGGTATCAACCGTAGGATTGGTATTTGTATTAGAAAGCTCTGTTATATACCTGATACATAAAACGAGACTGTGCTCTCCAAGCGTCGTGGAGCTGAGCTTCACTGCGCTCAAACTTCCAGAGCCTATCTGCTCAATTATTCACAAACATTTTCCTGTCCAACCAAACATCACACAGCCTCGATCCTATTATATAGGATGAATGAGTAGAGCTAGGCTACTAGCTGATAGAAAGGAGGTAGACACGCTTTGGCTTCCAGCCCTTGTCCTCGAGGCCTGGACCAGGGCAAGTCAAGGAGAGATAATGTCGTTGTGGGATAGCTGCTTGATATGCCAGCTGGAACAGGGAAAGGGCGAGGGGGAAAAGTCTCCAACAAACGCGCACTCGATACCGTTCAGCCAGAGAAAAAGATCGCCTTGTAAAGTAATTCACGACTGTGGACAAGTCACGTATCACTCATGTGCACCATGGTCTTTTGAATGTTGATCGATTAAATAATTCTCATTCCTCATGAGCGAAACCTCTTAATGCAAATTGCCACCTAACGCCGTCGCAATGAAGTTTGTATGATACAGGACTGTTTTCTCAGGCCCAGGAAGCCAAGGGGTACAGAAAGCAATGTGTGTGTCTGCGGTGTTTCCAATGCACGGGACATTTCAAACACCAAGGTAATGCATGCGCTTAGGCAGTGGCATTAACCTTCTCCTCCTCGCTCGCGGACTCGTGGTGGTGCTTGTGCGCCTCGCCGCGCCACTTTGCAGAGGTGATGGGGTTGACATGCTGGACGTACATGGTGTCAATCTCCTCAAGGGTGCGATCCTTGGACTCGATGACGAAGAGGAAGACAATGACAGCCAGAGCGGCACAGCAGCCAGCGAAGACGAGACCGTAGAGGTAGTCAATGGCATCGGTGATGTAGCGGGTGAAGAAGGACATGAGGCTGAGAAGAAGTTAGTTAGATGTTGAATGTAGTTGTAAGTTGAGGGTACATACAAGTTCCAGAGCCAGTTGGAGGCGGTGGCAAGAGCCATGGCGGGAGCACGGTAGCGAGCAGGGTACAGCTCAGCGACGACGGCCCAAACGAGAGGACCCCAAGTCGTGGCGAAACCGGCAATGAACAGGCAAGAGAAGGCAACAAGTACGGCGCCGGCCTGGGGAGTGTTGGAGGGGGTGACGGTGTCGAGGGCGAAGTGACCGACAAAGGCGTAGACGAAGAAGCACATCATCATCCACAGAGCACCGACGATGAGAGCAATACGGCGACCAGACTTCTTGACGACGACCAGACCGCCAAAGGTGCAAGCGACGTTGACGGATCCGAGAATGAGCTGAGTGACGTAGCTGTCGCTGAGACCGGTAGCGGAGAAGACAGTGGTACCGAAGTAGAAGAAGAAGTTGGCGCCCGTGAGCTGCTGGCCGGCCTGAAGCACAATTCCGAGCATGGTGCGGTAGAACATGCGGGGGCCGGTGAAGATCTCCCAGATGCTGGTGTCGGCGCCAGCATGCTCCTCGGCGACCTTGGCGCGGATCTCATCGATCTGGAGGTTGACAGAGGCGTGGTTGGCCTCAACTCCGGCAAGCTTGGCAATGTTGAGGCGAGCCTCGTCCTCGCGACCCTGGCGGAAGGCGTAACGAGGGGACTCGGGAAGGAGGAGAATACCAGCACCGAGAATGAGGGCCCAGGCAAAGCCGAGACCGTTGGGAATACGCCACGAGGCAGAGCCGGCCTTGTTGTGGGTCGCGAAGTTGACAATCTCGGCGAGCCAGATGCCGAGGGTGATGAAGAGCTGGTAGGTGGAGACAATGACACCGCGGATGATGGCGGGGCAAGACTCGGACTGGTACATGGGGACGACGACGGAGAGGGCACCGATGCCGACGCCGTTGACGAGGCGGCCGATGGCGAACTGGTACCACTTGGTGGTGGAAGAGATCTCGATGACGATACCAATGCAGGAGAAGAAGGCGAAGAGCGAGATGGTCATGCGACGGCCGAGAGTGTCGGCGAGCTTGCCGGCAGTGAGAGCACCGACGAGACAGCCGATACACAAGAGACCGACAATGGTACCCTGGCGAGCGGCGCTGAAGACGTAGGTGCCATCTTGGGGCTCACCAAAGCGCTGCATGAAGTCTTCCATCAGGAAGAAACCGGAAATCTGACCACTGTGGAAGAGAACAAAGGGTCAGTAAAACGGAATGGCCGGCGAGACAGTTATGTCTCAGATGGGAGGGCGCAGCGGAGAGGTGCGCCGGAGGGAGTAAGACATACCTGACATAACCGAACATGAAACCACCGATACTGGCAACAAGACCGAGGAAAGCAGCAGCAAAAGTAACCTTTTGCTCAGCAATGATATCGGAGCCGGAATCCGGGGTGGGAGCTTCCGTTCGGTCCTTGTGCTCTACGCCCTTGCCGCCGAGCTTGGGGAACTGCATGATGGGCGATGCTGACGATGCACGTCGATATGGCGATGGATATGTGGGGGTGGGTTTGTTGTTCTCGATCCAGGGGAGGATGTAGAGGCGGGAGGAATAACTATGTTGGTTCCGAGGGTAGTGAGGTTGTTGGTGATAGTTGAGGTTGGTGTGATTGTTGTTGAGTGTTTTGTTTGAAGAGAGAGGAGGGAGGAAGGAAGGAAGGTATTATACCTGCCTTTGGCGGTTGAGATGTGGAGAGGACAAGGTAGTTGAGATAAAACTCTGATTAGTCTGGAGAAGTGTGGGATGGGAAGGAGGAAAGGAGGCCAAGAGTAGACGATGGGGGAAGGAAAGGATTCTTTTTGTATTAGAGGAAAGAGGTCAGGAGACGAGCAGGTCCTTCCTTCCGCGGTGACTGGGGACTGCCCGGGGATTGGGTCTCGCGACCACGGCTCCGGGTTGGGACGTACCTACTTTCCGGTTCGTACCTTCCTCACTTACTACTTACCCAGGTAGGTACCGTACGTGCCTACCTTATTTGGGTACTTGGCCAAGGTATGGAAGGAAGCACGGAAGGTGAGGTACCTTCCTGACCTTACATTACTCACTAGTAACATGGCCCGGAAGGCACGAAGAAGGGGAAGGAAGCAAGCAAGGAAGGAATGACCAGATGCTCACCCCGTTCTCACCCATTCGAACCCATTCACTCCCCGTATATCCCCGTATGCCTCCGCATGCGTTTCCACACTTTGACTGATGGAAAGGTGCTTTTCATGCCTCATGATCACGTCTCTGACCAAGCAGGGCAGCTAGGGTGGACATCTTGGTGCTTTGCTAAACAACGAAAAATCAAAAACGAAAGGAGAGCCAAAAAAGAGAGATACCCACAATGCTGGTGCTGGCTAACCCACACTCCCACAGTCCACAACAACATGCGTCAAACGGACAAGTCGGGGGCCCGTGGGCGAACCAAGAAAAGTGCGGGCAGCAACGTACGTGTGTGGGCTGGACTGTGGGATAATGGCGGGTGAAGACCGGGTGAAGAAAGAGGTGGTTCTGGCCCAGGTTCTCGCGGAGAGAGTCGCGAGAGAGAGAGAGAATACCGTGACCATGGTGACATGTCGGACCAGGGTGACAGGAAGATTGAACGTCGTGGAGACTTTTGGGAGTCGTGGGAGAAACCTCTGGGAGGACTGGAACGGTGGGACCGCCGCTGATGGACCGGATGGTCATAGCTCTCTCGCCGGTCGCGAGCCTCACGAGTGACGTTGGTGGTACATTGCGCCGAGTTCCTCCGGCCGATGCAGCTGAGGTCAAGCAACCACCGTCCCAGCACCGTCAACAAGGAACAGAAGAGAATGGGCGAGCTGGGTGCACCGTGTACCGTGTACGGTGCGCGGCGTCGGCGAAGGAGAAGGGAAGGGGGGGTGTGTCTGTGTGTGCCATGAGCTGATGATTGACGTCGAGTCTCATTACAATTTTTCGGTCCAATGCTCGGCCACTAAGAGGAGTCGGTCTAAAGATGAGGCTCCCCGGTGGTGAGCGAGCACTGAGCAGCACACATGGAAAAGTGGTGGTTAAAGCAAAGGCAAGGTAACAGGGACCATTGACAAGAAAAGAGGCCGAGACGACGGCGTATGCGAGCAGGGTCACCACAATTATTCGAACGTGATAGCTGGAACTCGCCGAACGGATCTGGCTTTCCCTGTCCAGGATCTCGGCTTGCAGGGCAGGGCGACGAGTTGAGAAAGGCAGCAATGCCAGGCAAGGCCCAGATTGGACGGGCCACAATTACACTAATCGGACCCTTTATCCTTGGCGTGCTGTTGGAATCTGTCTAGTGCGGAATCGCTAGCACGAGATGATCCGCCCGCTGTCGTTACGCTCATGGTTGAGGTGGAGATCCCGAAGCCTCCGATTGACGTCAGGGTCAGGATGCACCGATGCAGGTCCCCGTCCCGTATGCTGCCACCGTACCACCGTGCCACGGAATTGTGAAGGCACCTAACCTTGATCATTCATGTGCCATGCCATGGAGGGACGGGAGTTTGATTGATTGAATGACAAGAGTGACGACTAACGACGGCTTGGCGGCTGGCCTTGCTTGGCCTACGCTGCCTACCTTGGGGACCTACACAGTAGCACAGTAGCACTGCTAGCAGGACATGCTGCTGCACGGCTGACTGATGGACTGACAAACTCAAAGCTTAAGATGCAGGTTTGGTGCAGCTGGAGAGAGTCAGGTTCCCTGCCCTCTGATTGAACCCATCTGTTTCTTCGAGAAAAGATCGCTGGAGCCCTGGAACCACACAATTCTCACATCATAACATCAGACGATGCAGAAAGACTTTGTTCGTCCACGTAAGGTACACAGATGCGGAAAGAAACCGACGTGGTAATCAGGGACATGCATAGTAATGAAGGGACGGAATCATGAAGGCCAAGAAAAAAAAGAAGAGAACCACTGAAAAAAAACAAGAGGGCATCCACCTTTGGGGCCCAAGTACCGTGCCGTCGCCGCATCTCCCTTTCCGGGTACGTACTTTGCGTAAGGAAGATCTCCACCGCACGGGCGGCATCTGCCATCTGGCATGCCATGGCCTGTCACTGGGAATATCATGGATTTTGTCACACACATCAACACATCACATCTCTGCAATGTCTGC